CTTCCAGCAGTAGTTTCTCTGGGAGCATCACTGGGACAGAATCAGTTTGACTCTGCTTTAAGTCAGTTTCCCCTCAGATTTCCAGCAGCAGTGGGAGGTCTGGGTGCACAGGTGACCTGTTTACTCTCTTTCCTCACTATTAAATTAACAGTATAAATTAAACAGGAACCATGAATTTAAGGACAATCCTTTTGTCCTCCTTGCTTCCAGGTCTCCAGTTAATCATAAAATATTAGGGAATAAAGTTCTTCACGTAGGTCTGAGGCATTTGCAGTGGTTTACACTGAGCTCTGATTTAAGGCTGCTTTTTAATGGATTTGTTTTTCTGCTGTTAATTTACTCTATCCATTAAACCAGCCTCACTTTAATGCCAGAGCAATTGGTGAATGATCCGTTCTGTTATATATTAGTGGTGTATTAAAGTATTAGTGCATTCCAGAAGGTAAGCAGGGAATAAAACATGCTCCGAACATGTGGTTATGCAACTGTTCCATGGAAATGAACTGGACAAGCAGTATACTTGATTAATTCTCCTTTTTTTCCCCACTAAATTGGCACTGTGATTCACTTCCAGCTAAATCTGCAATCTGTGCTCTCAGGTGGCATTAATATTGGAGCCCCAGCAGGAGAGCTGGGGCAGCTTTGATTGCATTTTTAAGGCAAGTTGTTGTAGAGAGCTCAGAGCTTGATGCAAATGTGCTGGTAAATGAAATGCAGCTTTTAGGTTCTCTGGAGGTGGGTCAGGCCCTTCACATTTACCCACAATAATGGTGCTGGCATGCCCTGGAGAGGCACTCCCTTCGTGTGGCACAGTGGGGGTCTGTGTGTGTCTCTGCTCTGTATCAAATTCACTCTGTTGATAGATAAAAATCATCTTTGTGATATCAGGCGACTCCAAAAACACTCAGTAAGATCCGTCTGGGATCGAGTGTTCTCAGGAATGGGGACTCTGGGGCTGGATCTCTATCAGGAGCTTGCTGGAAAGGAAAAAGCTTGCAGAGGGCCCAGTGTTAGAGCTGCAGAATCAAATTCAATGTGCATTCCCTTTTGCCATTGCTTCCCTGACACGAAACTCCTTTCAGCCTTTCAAGCTGGATTTTGTAGCCTTCAGGCTGGTCTTACTGTTTTTTTCCCTAATGGACTGTAGTTGGAAAGGTCATTGTACCCTGCTAGATTGTGTAATATTTAACTTAGCATCAAAAATGAGGACCTTGGGATTGGTGTCAAATGGATGCTGGTCCCCTCTGAACAGCAAAGCCCATTCACAGCCACCCAGGTTATTTGACATGTTAATGCTAATGAATAACTTTCTGGCTCTCTGCAGAGGGAAAGACTAATCATGGAAAGGTGGCATAAAGCAGGTGTTGAGATTCGCTCGAAATCCAGCTCCCAGCTTTAGTACCTTTTTAATTTATAATTTTTTATTAAAGTTATCATTCGTAGCTTCTCCCGATGCTGCAGCACAGCAAACAGGCTGCTCTGGTGCCAAGCTCAGGGATGACTAACGCTACTCACAGCACTGGGATTAGCGGGAAGTGCACGTTTTCCCATCAGTCTTTTAAACGGTGCCTGAGAGCTGCTGGGGCCGGAGTTGACCATCCAGGCTCTGCCCGTTGGAAAAAGTGATGTCAACTTCCAGAACAATAAAAACCCAAATTCTGATGAAAGTAGGGAGGTCCAATTGTGCTTCCTGCACGTGATATGTTTTCATTAGGACCTGACATTCCTCTGCTGTAAAAGCCACGGGCACAGAGAAGCAGAGGAGATATTGCATAAGCACCAAGTCATTTGCCCCATCTGCATTTCTCGGAGCATGAGATCAGCTCAGACTATCTGAGATGAGAAAGCTGCTGGTGCACAAGTGCTGTAACTGATAGGAGTTACCTCTGAGTCAGCTGGGAGGGGGGAAGTTGGCCTTGGGGGGTTTTGTAAGTTCAAGTTTTTATGAGTGTTTTTATAAAGCTCCATTGCTTTTACTGTAAATCCCAGGAAAGTCTGGCACAGAGGCTTTGGAATATGAATCAGTGTGTCCATATGCTTCCAAGTGACACTGCAATCTGGGAAAATACCATTTTATCCCTGTGTTTAAAAGAAAGAAAAGCAGAGTTGGTACGTAAAAGGTTGGCATTGACAGAGGGGTTAAGGCAGAGATGTTGCTTCCTCCGATGTGCTGCCTGCCCTGTCACCAGAGCAGTGACTCCAGCTGCTCTGCCCTTGCGTTGTGACCTGGGGCACGGAGCACTCGCTGCGCACATGGCAAAGCTGCAGCAGGCGACACATGAAGTTGTGGCTAATGCCCCAGCCAGCCCTGGCCTTCCACGGGCTGGAGCGGTTTGGGAACTGTGTTAGCTTCAGGAAAAAAAGGAAAAGAATTATTCCTTTCTTTCTCCTTCTTTTCCTCTGTTTTTCTAATGTGACAGGTCTCTGGTCACCCCCAGCCCAGAAAAATGGGCTTGTGCCACAGAGAAATGGCACTTTCTTACGAGGTACCCCCAGCGCACTCAGTTGTGTGAATGCCAAGAGCTGCAAAGGTGGTGGGAAGGGAAGGCTGGGACCCAGGACCATGTGTGTGATGCTGCCCCTGAGTGCAGCTCCAGATGAAGAATGAGCAGCTGCTGTTAAAACAGTGGTGAATTGGGCAGGGGGTGGGCAGGGAAGCTCCCAAATACTCTGCAGGCTTTGCTGAGTGGGGAGGGCCGAAGTAGATGGACCTGGCCCCCTGCAGCACAGCTCCGGGTGTCCCTGCAGGCAGAGGCCCTTGGTGTGGGCACGGTGCTTTGAGCTGGTGAGAAGGTTCCTGATGGGATTGGTTGGAAAAGGACAATTTTGTAGAAATTGAAATGTTCCGTGGGGAATGTGTTGAGTTTTCACCAGGTTTTCCTGGTGGAAAGCAGGCGGCTTACCCAGGGTGACCCTGGCTGGCACTGCTCTGCCCCAGGGAACACTGGGGATGGGTCTGGGCAGGGAGAGGGGAAATGATGGTGGGTTTCCTCCTCCAATGGGAATTCGATGCAGGCTGTAGAAGAGGCGTGTTTGTGGGTTGGTTTCTAAAGAGCAAATTCACAGGTTGCACGTGTGCAAATACAGTAAATCCAAGGTCAAGTTAAATTTTCCTGTTGGCAGAGGCTGAAAGTGATTTATGGAGAGAAACAGTTAAATACCAGGACAGTTGTGCTTTGTCTAATGGCAAGGGAACTAACTTCTCCTTCCTCTCCTTGTCCTCAGGTTCCATGGCAGATATGAACGTTTGTCAACATCTGACATCAGCTCCTTGGGACATCATGAGTTTGCTGAAATCTAGACCACAGAGCACTTGCAGTAGCGCTTTTTCAGTCTGAATTTCATGTACGTGAAAGGAACCTAATCATCTGGATCGACTGTAGTGATGGCTAGCAAAAGAAAATCCACAACTCCCTGCATGATACCAGTGAAAACGCTGGTGCTTCAGGAGACTGAACTGGACGCTGTAGAAGATGATCGTGAAGGAACACAACAGGATGCTCCTGCGGAAGGGCCAGCAGCTGGTGATGCTGGTGCCAGCAACACTAATAATGGAACTCTGTCTAACGGGCACCGTGGCATTGCTGATAGTGACACTTACATCTGCAAGTCTTGTGACTTTGGGTCTCAAGATGTTCAGCACTTCTTTGGGCACTTGGACTCTGAGCACTCGGACTTCAGCAAAGACCCTGCGTTCGCCTGCATCGCGTGCAACTTCCTTGCAAACAGCCATGAAGGGCTCTCCCACCACAACACGGAGTCACATGCTGGCGAAACAAGCTTTGTCTGGAGGGTGGCTAAGCAGGACAACCGTACAACCGTGGAGCAAAGTCTCTGTGAGGCCACCAGCAGCCACGACCTTCCAGGAGAGGTCCCTGAAGAAGGGGTGGATGGCCAATCGGAAATTATCATTACCAAAACCCCCATCATGAAAATAATGAAAGGTAAACCCGAGGCCAAAAAAATCCACACCTTGAAGGAGAATGTGTCAAGTCAGTTGGGCAGTGAGGCAGAGGTGAAAGACGGGGAGCATTCCTTCCCCAACGGGTCCGTGCCCGTCAGCCAGCCCACTGCAAGCTCAACAAAATCATCTCATGTAGTCAATGGCTCCGTCATAGGAAACGTGCCTGTTCTGCAGGCGGGTGTTGCACAACTTGTGTCACTGCAGCAGCAGCCCCCGTTGCATCAGCAGCTACCGACATCCAAGTCCCTTCCCAAGGTGATGATTCCCCTGAGCAGCATTCCAACATACAACGCCGCCATGGACTCCAACAGCTTCCTGAAAAACTCTTTCCACAAGTTCCCCTACCCCACCAAAGCCGAGCTCTGCTACTTGACCGTGGTGACCAAGTACCCGGAAGAGCAGCTGAAGATCTGGTTCACTGCCCAGCGGCTGAAGCAGGGCATCAGCTGGTCCCCGGAGGAGATCGAAGATGCCAGGAAGAAGATGTTCAACACTGTTATTCAGTCCGTGCCACAACCCACCATTACTGTTCTGAACACGCCGCTGGTTGCGAACCCCGGCAGCGTCCCCCATCTTATTCAGGCGACTCTACCGGGCCACG